TTCTTTGTTCACATTTGATCGCCTTTGTTCTCGGACCTTAAATCTCAGAGGCAGTTACAATATTGACCTTGTAATAATAATGTTCATCAGTCAAAATATTGGATCTCCCCTACTAGTAAGGGCAACCCTTTGATGGTTCCTCTTGCAAGACATATATAGTCTTAGCAGAGTGCAGGGAAGCATTAAACTTTAGAATCAAAGTCTAGTCTGTATTACTCCCTAGCCTGTGCTCTCTTAAAACTCGCCCTATTATAATTATCATTACATTAATGTACAGACTACACAACACATTCATGCTGTCATAATTTGAGACAACTATTAATAAGAAGGAATGCCTTCTTTTCCTATCAAGCAAGTCTCAAAATATTTGCTCAAACTTTAATATGTAAATGTTGAAAGGTACAAAAACCCAGTAAAATTGGTTATAAATAACATCAACTGATCAGCCTATTGAAAAGTCGTGCTTCTCTTACCAGCTTTATTTTTCTTTGTAATGCTTACCTTCTAATGAAATATTTTATATTTATAGATTTATACTATCTTATTGTATTATAAGTTTTTAAACTGCAAGTAATATTTCCTTTTTTAAATGATAAACTATTCTTAGCCTTTTTAATGAATCTTGAATGTAACTTATGGCACAGATGTCTTCAATCTTCATTGAATGCTTACTTCAGAATTCCTAAAAACTAACACTGTAGTTTGAGTACATATGTTTGTTATTTGATGAACTTGCTAATATAATATATACCTATTCCTTAGATTGCAATATGGTCAGACTGATATTCAATGGTATATGGGTCTATGGTATGGTATATGGGTCTATGGTATTACCAAAATGATCTCCTTGTTATAAAATCCTGAGGAGATGATTGATCCTGAAACAAACTTTGACATTCAGATTCCCATATCAACTTTTTCTTAACCATTATCATATTTTAAATAATTATTTTTATATTTATTTTTAGTAAAAGGTTAATGGATACCAGTCTTTGTTTCAAACAGTGAAACTAGACACATGACCTTAGGCAACCTTTTAATGATTTCATATTTAAAATGAAGTTTTCTATTCATGAAATTTATTACACCATTTAAAACTAACTGCACTTTCCTAATGCTTTTATTTAATCACCTACTTCATATAATTCTCCTTGCATCTAATCACTTCATTGCTTGACTGAACTAACAAATGAGTTCAGTAAATCTGTAGAATATCAGATCAGTATATTAATATCAGTTGTGTTTCTATACACTAGTAATAAATAATTGAAATTAAGAAAATAATTACATTTACCGTAACATCAGAAAAGAATACTTGGTAATAATGAACTAAATTATTTATTTGTATACTTAAAACTACAACACATTATTGAAAGATATTGAAGAGCACCTAAATAAATGGAAAAACATACCATGTTCCAGAAGCAATTGCCATGAAATATTGAAAGTGATGAAAAGCAAGGTCTAAGACTACTCTATCCAGCAATGCTGTCATTTAAAATTGAAGGAGAGATTAAGAGTCTAGAAAAGAAAAAGCTAAAGTTCTTCACCACCAAACCAGGATTATAACAATTGTTAAAGAAATTTCTTTAAGAAAAATAAAAAAAACACAGGAACATAAATATAAATAATAAAATGGTAATGACTACATACCTATCAATAATCACTTTAAATGTAAATGGATTAAATGCTCCAATCTAAAGGTATAGGGTAGCTGAATGGATATGAAACAAGACCCTTATATGTTATCTACAAGAAACCCACTTCAGATTGAAAGACACATACACAGACAGAAAGTAAAGGGATGGAAAAAGAGATATGCAAACGGAAATGAAAAGAAAAAAAAACTGGGATAGTCATATTTATGTCAGACAAAATAGACTCTAAAACAAAGGCTATAATAAGAGTAAAAGAAAGGCATTACATAACAATAAAGGGACAATCCAACAAGAGAATATAACCCTTGTAAACATTTATGCACCCAACATAGGAGCACCTAAATATATAAAACAAATGTTGTTGAACAGGAACATAAGGGAGAGATAAACAGTAACACAGTCATAGTAGAGGATTTTTATACCCCATTAACATCACTACATAGATCTTGCAGACAGAAAAATCAACAAGGAAATGGTGGCCTTAAAGGATACATTAGACCAGATGGATTTAATTAATATTTGTAGAGCATTTAACCCTAAAGCATCAAAATATAATTCTTTTCAAGTGCACAAGGAACATTTTCCAGGACAGACCACATGTTAGGCCATAAAGAAGACTCATTAAATTTACAAAGATTGAAATCATACCAAGCATCTTTTCTGACCAGGAGGATATGAAACTAGATATCAATTACAGGGAAAAAGTAGAAAAACACACAAAATGTTACTAAACAATGGAGGAGCTAACATTGAGATCAAGGAAGAAATCAAAGGTACCTTGAGACAAATGAAAAAGAAAACAAAGCAAATCAAATCCATGGAACCAGTGAAAGTAGACCTAACAAGGAAATTCAGAGCAATACAGGCCTACTTCAAGAAATTAAAAAGATCTCAGCCTAACCTTACACTTAAAGGAACTAGAAAAAGAACAACAAACAAAACTAACCTTACACTAAAGGAACTAGAAAAAGAACAACAAACAAACCCCAAAGTGAGTAGAAGGAGGGAAATAATAAAGATCAGAGCGGAGCCATGCCACAGGCAGTAGCTGAGTTTGCACCTCCAGGGAGGCCCCAATGCCAGTGCACCCACGGTCAACTTTTATGTGAAAAAATATGAATCCCAAGCAGGTTCCTAGAATTTTCTAAGGTTCCATTAGTCATTCATGAGAGAAAAAATAAATTCAAAATTTTCATAAAAGAGAAAAAATAAAGTGATTTCAATTATCATAAAGGTATCCCTGACAGAATACACTCTTTTCTTTGTTTTCTTCAAAACAAGTCTGTCTCTCTCTCTCTCTCTCTCTCTCTCTCTCTCTCTCTCTCTCTTTTTTTAATAAAGGCAGATAGCCATAGGCAGCACCTCATTTGGATATGCCTGGTGTTTGGAAGCGTGACCACCCTGTTCTCCTACAAATGTAGCATTGAGACACAAAGGGCACACCTGCCTAGCCATGCTAATCAGACAAATCAATGCTGCCGATCAGAATAGATGTTGTTATAGCCAATTGCCCTGACATCCAAGTCTCATCTCATTTTTTAATAACTCCCAGAATTCCAACTCCATTATTATAAATAAGATAAAGTTGATTTGCGTTCGTTTTTTCATTTTTTTCTGTTCTGTTAGATGATCTTACCTCTTGTTTGAATAAAACCTCACAAAGCTTGCCTGTCCTCGTGTGTTTTGATATTCTGGACTTCTCTTTTACCAGGTCTTTCTATGAAAATAATAATGTTTTACCTCCAGTTCCCTAAAATTAATTGAAATATTACTCATATGACTTCTGTCTTAATGACAGGAAAGATCACAGGTCCACCTCTGAAGTGTTAATAACTTACATAGCCATGAAGAATTTAGAAGGACCATTGTTATCACAACTATGAAATATTCATTACAGAAAAAATCCTCAACACATTACCTCTAAGGTTGAAAAAATTAATACTAGGCTAATTTGGAACATGGTTGGTGAAACTGTATTTTCAAGACAACTACTTTTTCTCTTGTAATCATTTCATATGGAATCTCAATTTTTTTTAGAGATGATGGATATGTTTACTACCTTGATTTTGCTGATGGTTTCACGGGTGTAGGCTTAAATTGTGTACATTAAATATGTGCAGTTTTTGTATATAAAGAAAAACTAAACAAGTCAAATCAACAAACATTTCTACCCACATGCCATTTGTTACAGTAGAGTTCAATTTTTAGATGTCAAACAGAGAAGTAGGCTACTCTGCATAAGAAAGAAGCTAAGGCTATTCAACTGACAGCCACTGGTTTCACCACAAAAAGTGAAGAAATTTCTATGTTCTGCTTCCAGTGTATAATTCTTGGTAGCAGTGAAAAGATAAGGAGTACTACAACAGAGTTTCTATATTCAGTGTATCTAAAAAATGGCCTTTTTACAGGTGTCATCTGCATTTTGATTTTTCAACTGAAATAAAACTAGTTTTTAGAGACCCTTATACCTCACATGTGTAGATATTGATATTTCAGGTTCAAGATACATCAGTGCATCTACCTTGAAGGCTACAGGAGATACTGAAATAAGATGCCGAAATAGGAAATGTGTAGTAAGTTTGACAGACAGTTGCCCTCTGGACATGTGAATTTCATTTAGTGTCTGGGAAATCATTGCACAATGCTAGAAAAATAGTTACATAAATTCTGATGGATCCATTTTATTATTTATGATGTTTTTATTTGCTTTTTTACCTATAACCCAAAGAACATAATGTATTTTTAAATGTTTCTGTATAACATTACTGATACTACATTGAATGTCCTTTTCCCACAAGTAGTGTGACCATCTGTCCTATTCTTATCAAATTGTTGGCATGCTCTTTCCTTAAAAAAGAAATTGTTTCAAACAACTGGAGTAACTTTTTATATTCTGATGTACTTTTCCCCCTGAGGGAAGGCAACATCCGGAAGTCTAAGAGAAATTTTTGAAAATTGTTGACCAAGGAAGCTCTGCAGAGGAACTAAGTGACTCCTCTGGTTTTCACTCCCCATTACGCACACCTTGTGTAGTCACAGAGAGACCTATTAGTACAGAGAACCACAGCCTCTGCACGGTGTTCCTACTGGTTTCCATTAGCTGGGTGCTGAAAGGCTAATGGAAAATAAAACATTTTATTTTCTTGTGTTACCCCAACTGTGTTGTTTTTTTTTTTTTCATGTCTCTTATCATTTTTGAGAACAACTCCATGACAGTTTTTAGCTGTTAGTCATTTGTGACATTTTCTCTACAGGGTCCCCCAGACTGCCAATCACATCTGAAGATACTCTTCATATGTGGCACTTGTTCGTGTATGTGTAGGGTGTACCCCAAGGCACAGTTTCAGATCATACTCCCATGTAGTACCAAGGATCAGAGGCACAGGATTCAGTGTTATGAAATACAGATACATATGACATAATACCATCCAAGTCAACTGAAGCTGAACCAAGAGACATAGATGCTATGCAATATAGTCACCTTCAATTTTGAAAAAAATATTTAAGGAATTATTATTTACTGATTTACCATCCTCAATTTTTCTAACAGATCTTAAGTGAAAAAACAAGGTACATTCTTGACTCAACATAAATCAGGATAATGCTAATATTACATTGTTGATCCTGAGAAGAATATACTTGCCAAAAAGGACCCCTCATGGTTAATTGGATTCAAATTCATAACCAGACTCTAGCAACCATTGTTTGCAGAACTCCCTCATTCATGCATGCTGAATTTCAGGAAAAAGCCACAGACTGAGCTGCCAAGCTTCCTGTACTGTGCTCCTGACATCTGAGTCAACTCTTATAAAAGAGCTCCTAGGATTAAAATTCAACAAATAGACTCTCTCCACCCTCACCCCCATCCAGTCAAAGCTGTGCAGCTATATCCTCATTTACATCTTTACTGACCAGAGTGACTTCATTGAGGATAGTGCTATTTGGACCTATCTCACTATGTAGATTTAGAGTCCTCATTTGCATAGAAACGGACCAATCAGGGACCTGGGTAGGGTACTCTTCTCTATATAAACCAGCATCACCTCTGTCTCAATGGAGCATTTTCAGTTTCAATCAAAGACTGTGTTTCCCTGGGAGAAGCTGTAACACTGGAGCAACTTCACCAGAGCTGATTTGACTGAGCTGTCTCACACCTGTGATGTCTTTACTGCATTATATCTCCCTCCTTACCACACCCCAAATTGGGGACTTATGTTGCCATTAAATTGGTGACAAGGACCTTCATTTAACAACATGAATATGAATAATGCAGAACTCAATGAAAATAATCTTTGCCTCCCATTATACATAAATAAAACAGTTAAGTTACTCTGTCATTTTAACATCTACTCTGTGCTTTTAGGCACTTGGAACACCTTAGTTAACAAACCAAGAAATTATGCAGCTTAAGATCTAAGTAAGACATAAAACAGATGATGATAAATATTTTGGTATAAAATCGAGCCAAATAAAAGGGATGGAATTGCTTGGTGGCTTGTAATAAAAAGATGACATTTGGGTCACAACTGTAAAGAAATAAATAAGCCAGATATCTCGGCGCGGGGCGGGGCGCGTTCTGAGCAGAGCAAAAAGTCAGTGCAAAGGCCCTAAGGTAGGGACATGCCTGGTGTTTCATGACAGAGTAGGGAAGGCGCTGTTGCAGTTTAGAAGGGAGAGGAGTAAACTAGAGCAGGTGGATCTTTGAAGACCATGGCCAGGACTTTCCCTTTACTCTGAGCAACAGGGGATGTCACTCAGGTTCTTAAACACATGGGTTATATGATTTGACTTCATTTTTTTAAAGTATATTTTATTGATTTTTTACAGAGAGGAAAGGAGAGGGACAGGGAGTTAGAAACATCAATGAGAGAGAAACATTGATCAGCTGCCTCCTGCACACTACTCCCTACTGGGGATGTGCCCACAACCAAGGTACATGCCCTTGACCGGAATCGAACCTGGGACCCTTCAGTCTGCAGGCCGATGCTCTATCCACTGAGCCAAACCGGTTAGAGCTTGACTTCATTTTTAAGTGAAATACCATGGTGCCTCTGTTTCAAATAGAGAGAAAAGGCATGCTAGTTGGATGGCTATTGCATTAATGTAGGTACTATATGATTTGGGCATAAATAGTGATGGTGGTAGTGAATGTGGGGTAAAGCAATACAATTCTAGAAATATTAGTAGTCAAGCCAACTTGCTACATGAATTATAATTTTAAAATATATCAAGAAATATATTAGTGATACATTTTTTTGTCATTTAATGTTTTGCTAGAGTTTGTAGTTTAAACTGTTCAGTGGTACTCTACTGTCTTACATTCCCTGTTGGAAATTGTCTTAGCCAACTCTTTGTAAGCAATCTTGACTGCATTTTCTCTCCCCATTCACACCAGTGCTCTAATATCATCTCCTCAGAGATAGCTTTCCTGACCACCCACTTTTCACTTTTCATCACTCTTATTTTCCCTTAATCTGCTTGCCTGCTTCATGCTCTGCATTACTATTTACCACTGCATTTTTTATTTCTCTATCCATATAATGTAGGATTCATGACAACTGTTTTTATGTTAATTATCAACCCCCCAATGTTTAAAATAGTGCCTGTCATACATTAAATGCTTCATATGTCCAACAGATATATTTCTAAACTTCAAAACCAAACTGTTTTCCTTGTCTTCTTATCCTGTTTATGGATCTTTATATTATTGCACAGAAATTACATTTTCTTTATAACTCATACCTACACTAAAATGATCAAATATAGTAAATTGTTATATTCACGCTTTCTGAATGTTGTCTAATTAAATCTGATTTGAAAGCATATTCAAAGGCATTCTACAGGAGCTAGCTAAATAATTCAAGTACGAAAAAGTCATCTGAATAGCCTCCTTACAGAGTTAGCTTAATAAATAATCATGAGCTGTAAGTAGTATTTTTAAAATTTTGTGTGGCATGGGTTATTGTTGAGCTATCTAAATATGTTATAGCATACTTCTTGATGTAATCATTTTCATATCATGTAAACATGGCATTTATCAGGTCAACCTTTACAATGACAAGTATCTGATATCTGCAAAACTTATTTTTAAAAAGTTAAGACAAAATTAATCTAACAAGAAAATATAATGCTGCCAATTCCTTTGATAAGACAGATAAGTCATAAGCAAAGTTTTCAATATGTCTTATTTTAAATGAAGTATAGTAGTTATAGTGTAAAATGCATAGACCTAACATGTAGCATTTTGATGACTGACAACACCTGTGTGAAAGCTGATGTCTGCTTTGCTTCCTACAACTACATCAATCCAGTGACAAATAAAAACAGTGCTGGTAACAATTATTTTTTTGTAAGGGAAAGGTGCATGATCAGAGTACAAAGCCAGCAAAGCACTGCCATGTATTATTTTGCAGTGTAAAACAAATACTAGTAGAAGAAAATGTGGAAATTCATGAAAGCCTTTCTTGCACTATTCTTTGAAACCATGTCCTCCAATTATTATTTGAATAGCTTGTATCGTAATGAGCCTGAGCTGGTACTGTAAGCAGCTCTTTTATAACTGAAATAGGCCAATACCCCTTAAGATGAAAATCATTACTTGGATTATTTTACTGACATCAGATCATTGATATTTCATGGAGAAATCTTCAGTAAAATGCCTCAGCTATTAATTTTTATTCATTTATGGTAAGTTCTTGGTACTAGTGGTTGTTTTTGTGAAAGGCTGTGGATACTAAAAGAACATATCTCCTTTAACAAATGTTATATGTTTAAGTGATATATAATATTACCAAACGAGTTCTAAACCAATACTTCATTTTTTGCATAGAAGTTTATAGTAGTGAATGATTTACCTTCTTGCAATAAAAAGATTTGTACATCCATTTGAGTAATTTAGAGGAAGGAAAATACCTTACCAGCTAGTAAATGTGGTCCATAGTCCTAGGAAATGATACATCACATCATCCTCTTTCACACACGGACAGGGTTTTCCTTCCCTCAACACTTTCTAAAAGTTTATGAATAAAAATGCATTAGGCAATTATTAAAATTTAATTTTAATGCATCCCATTTTCATTTCTATTTTGGTATGTTCCCTACATTTCTATTCTATTCTAAAAAAAACATATTTTTGGATTTTTATTTGTACTTTTGTGTAGAGTTCAGCTTTCACTATATTGTGAAATATAGAGGTTTGGAAACTATAAGAAAACTATGGACTTGTCCAAATTTAAGTTGATAAAGTTCTAGAAGTATATTAGTGATCACCCCTGTACTTGACAGGGACCTCCTGAACCTCCCAGGGCCTGCAAAGCACTTTTAAAATAACACCATATAATCAAACATTTACATAAATCAAGCTAGCCAAAAGGAACTATGCCAAAAATATAAGTGAGTACAGAAAAGCTCTTGTCAAATAATTGAAATCAGGGAAACTCTGAAAATACTAGTAGGTATTTGTGTGTGTTGTCTGTAGACCTAATAATTGTGCTAAATACTAGCATCATATTAAATTCATCAAAATAAAATTAAGAGGAAAATGAATAAAATGACCTAATGTTTTCAAAGAAATATGATAAAATAATGGAATTTTACTGAAAAAAGAGGACAACTTAAAATGTATTCAGATATTTATAATATACATTAATAAAAAGTAGAAAGGACACTAGTAAATAAATCACATTACCAACTCACCAAAGGAGATACAATTTACTAGATAAAAGTAACATAAGCAAAGGTGCAAAGAGAAGTTAATCCCTATAGGCTCTCCAAGCCCTCACTTTTGGCTGTCTGCAAGATATCTCAACTTGAATATCAATGCTGACACTTAAAACTTAACAAGTTTATAGCCAAGCTCATTATTTTCTCTATTCCTCTTTTCCCATCACTGTCTATATGTCACCATTATATTCCTGGCTCACCGGGCTACTAAGTATATAGTCATTTTTTATTTCTTCTTGTCCTTATTCATCCATATCCCATCTATATAAAAAAATCTTCCAAGGCATTTTCCAAATTTGGTAACTACATTCAGTTCTTACAATCAGAACCCTTTCCCGTGTCATAGCCACTCTTTTGGAATAACCACTATAAAAATGTGTCTACTGTTAAATCATGTCTTCTTTTTTTCCAAATAATAAAGCAAAAATAATTCAAACCTGGTACTTCTGAAACCAAATGTGGCCCCAATTCATACATTTAATAAAAATAAAACCGTAATACATTTCCACAGGTTTTGTTTTGTTCTTCCTCTACATTTTCTTCCAGCACACTTCTGTGCACTTCCAAATACTCTACTAACTGAATAGTTATGACAACAAAATATATTTCCCCTTTACATCTCTCTCAAATTCTAGTCCTACAAATAAAAGCTAATAGTTGATCTTATTTTTGTAGCCACACTCTTTTAAAATCTTTACATATAATATTCAACCTTATAAGTAATATATTATTATCTCAAGTATAGAAAAGACCTGATTAAACTAAATACATGGTGGAGCCTGGGTATAGATTTAGATATGATTACTCAAGGCCACATGCTTTTAACATCTGTGTTTTTCCTTCTCCTTTATTCAAGTGAACCTATAGTTAGCTTATTATGGATCTTCTTCATTGATTATTCTATATGCTTTTCTAAATAGTTTTATCCAGATATAATCCATTATCTTTACAGATGCCCTATTTCAGACTCTCTCTCCTGTTAAGGACATGCACACTAGAATGACTCATATTACAGCTATAGTACTTAACTCTGTAATGATTGACAAGGAACATTTCAAAGTCTCAAATTCCTCAACAGTACTTCTCTTCATTAAGAAAGTCACTAGAATCAATGTCTTCCATGAAATTAAAGGTACTATTTAAACAAGGAAACAAAAATAGTTTTATTGTTCTCAATGATTTACTTATTTTCCCTTAAATAAATAAAATCAGAGATGAACAAGAAGTTATGATGGACCCCCACAGACATATAGAGGACCATATCAGAATACTATGAAAGGCTTTACACCACTAAATTGGACAACCTAGAAGAAATGGAAAAATTCCTAGAAGCATACATTCATCCTAGACTAAATCATGAAGCTAAGTAAACTGATCACTAGCAAGGAAATTAAAACAGTAATCAAAAACTTCCCCCACCAAAAAATTCAAGGTAGCTTTAGTGATGAATTTTAACAAATATTCAAAGAAAATGTGATACCTATCCTTCTCAAACTCTTCTAAATAATTGAAGAGGCAATGCTTCCTAACTCATTTAATGAGGTCAGCATTGCCCTTATAACAAAACCAGACTAGAACATCACACACACAAAAAATCGTAGGACAATATTTCTAATGAACATAGATGTAGAACTCCTAAACAAAATATTAAAGAATCAAATATAACAATACATTAAAAGAATCACACATGATGACCAAGTAGGATTCATTCCAAGAATGCAAGGATGGTTCAATACCCACCAATCAAGCAATGTGATACATCATATTAACAAAAAAAAGATAAAAATCTTAGCATCTCAGTAAATGCAGAAAAAGATATCCACCAATCAAGCAATGTGATACATCATATCAACAACAACAAAACAAGATAAAAATCTTAGCATCTCAGTAAATGCAGAAAAAAGCATTTGATGAGACATCTATTTATGATTTTAAAAACTCAAAAAATTAGTATAGAGGGAAAATCACTCAACATAATTAAGGCCAAATATGACAAACTATAAACTAGCATCTTATTCAATGGTGAAAAACTGAAAACTTTCCTCTAAGATCACAAGCAAGACAAGGATGCTCATTCTCATCTCTGCTATTCAACATAATATTGGGAGTCTTAGCCAGAGCAATTAGACAGCAAAATTAAATAAAATACAACTAATTTGGAAATGAAGAAGTAAATCTGTAATTATTCTATATATAGAAAACCCTAAATATCTCACCAAAAAACCCATTAGAAACAGTAAATGAATACATTAAAGTTTCAGGACAATCAATATACAAAAATCTATTGTGTGTCTCTATAACAAACGTTAGAAAAAGAAGTGATGAAAACAATACTACTTAAAATTTCAATAGAAAGAATAAAGTACCTAGGAATAATCTCAACAGAGGAGATGGAGGATCTATACACAGAAAACTATAAGACATTCTTGAAAGAAATTGAAAGAGACACAAAGAAATGGAAGGATATTCCATGTTCATGGATTAGTAGATTTAACATTGTTGAAATGCCTATATTGCTTATAGCCATCTACAGAGTCAGTGCAATCCTTACAGAAATCTCAATGGCATTTTGCACAGAAGTAGATTTTAAAATCCTAAAATTTGTATGGAACCACAAAAGACCTTGGATAACCAAAGCAATCCTGATGAAAAATGAACAAAGTCAGAGGTATTGCACTTTCTGACTTCAACCTATACTGAAAATCTATAGTAATCAAAATGGTTTAATATTGGCAGAAGAACAGACACAAAATAACTGTTCCCAGAAATAAACTGATACATATATGAGCAACTAATTTTCAACAAAAGAGCCAAAAATATACAGTAGAGAAAGGACAGTCTCTATCAATAAATGGAGTTGGGTAAATTGTACAGCCATATGCAAAAGAATGAAACTAGACTACTATCTTACACCGTACACAAAAATTAATTCAAAATGAGATAAGTACATGAATGTAAGTCCTGAAGCAATAAAATATATAGAAGGAAATATAGACATTAAACATATGGTCCTTGGTCTCAGACTGGTAATTTTTTAATTTGACCTCAAAGGCAAGGGAAAACAAAAGCAAGACTAAAATAATGGAACTACATCAAACTAAAAAGCTTCTGCACAGCAAAAGAAACCATCAACAAAACAAAAAGACTAGCAACTGAATGGGAGAAGACATTTGCAAATGACACCTCTAATAAGGGCAAATATCCAAATATATATAGAACTCATACAAATCAATAAAACACACAAATAATTAGATTACAAAATGGGTAGAGGATCTGAATAGACACTTTCCCCAGGAAGATATACACATGGCCAACAGACAGATATAAAAAATGTTCAACATCACTAATTATTAGGGAAATGCAAAACATGATGAAATATCACCTCACATCTGATAGAATGGCTATCATCAAAAAGGTAAGAAATCAGTGTTGGAGAGTATGTAGAGAAAAAGGAACCCTTGAACACTGTTGGTGAGAATGCAAATTAGTGTATACATATGGAAAACAGTATGGAAGTGTCTCAAACAATTTAAAATGGAACCACCATATGATCCAGCAATACCTGTTCTGGCTATTTATCCAAAAAAAAACATAAAAACACTTATTTATAAAGATAGATGTAGCTCTATGTTCACTGCAGAATTATTTACAATAGCCAAGACATGGAAACTATCTAAGTGTCACATATACCATATCACCTTATCCAAATGTGTGTGTGTGTGTGTGTGTGTGTGTGTGTGTGTGTGTGTGTGTGTGTGTATATATAGTAAAAGACAAAACATTGCCATTTACAATAATATTGATAGATTTTGAGATTATTATTCTAAGTGAAATAAGTTAGATGGATAAGGACAAAACCTGTATGATTTCACTCACAGGTGGGATATAAAAGAAACAAATGAACTAACCAAACACACCAGAACATACACATAAATACAGAGAACATAATGGTGGGTACTGGAGGGGAAATGACTTGGGGTGAGGGTGAAATGGGTAATGGGGATCAAATATATGGTAATAGAAGAAAACTTAACTTTAGATGGTAAGCATGCAATAGAGTACACGAGGGGTCAAATTATAAATTTGTATACCTGAAATTATATAATGTTATTAACCAATGTTATTCCATAATTTTTTATTAAATAAAAATAAAAAAATAAAACATAAGCCAACATTCAGAACAGTATAATTATAGAAAATCCTTGCAATTAGATCTTACAGAAAACTTATCCCTGACTAAAATATTTACATATTTGTTCCTTATTTTAAGGCTAACTTCATCAGATTTAAGTCCATTCTTAATCACTAAATTCTATTAAATGTACCTTACATTAAAGAAGAAAGAAAACTAGTGAGTTATCAATTAAATTTGAATTTTATCTTTTGAAAGTTTTATCACAATAAGGGTTAAGATTTTATATGGAACTAGAGGCCTGATGCATGAAATTCGTGCACAGGTGGGGTCCCTAGGCCTGGCCAGTGATCAGGACCAATGAAGTTCCCCACCTCGCCGCCTTATTCCTCGCCGCCCACGCGCCGCCACCGCATGGTTCCCCGCCTTCCCGCCTCCCCCCTTGCTCCTTCCCTTGCTGCCCGCATCCTCCACCACCCAACCCTGGTTCCCTGTCCCAGCCTGGGGCCTGGCCCCTATCAGGCGATCAGGGCCTGCTGGCTTGGGGGAAGGGCCAACCACCACCTCAGCAGGTGGGCGGCAAGCCACTCCTAAGCCCCCCTGGGAAAGGGACTGTGTCCGCCACCACCCACTCCTGATTCCCCATCCTAGCACGGGGGCCTGGCCCCGATCAGGAGATTGGGGCCTGCGGGCTGGGGGCAGCTCCTGCATGGAGCGTCTGCCCTCTGGTGGTCAATGCGCATCATAGCAACCGGTTGTTCCAGTTGTTCCATCATAACGGTCGCTTAGGCTTTTATATATATAGACTAGAGGCCCGGTGCACAAAAATTTGTGCACTGGGGGGGGGGGGGT